GATAAGAGAAGGCAGGCCCAAGCAAAGCTGACAGGGGCACAGGCAGAGCGCTGATACTAAAAGCTTCCAGGATGAACAAGCATGATTTACTCTAAAGGACTAATTTTTAAGAGTTGCATTTACTTAGGATTAACTCCCCAAAAGTCCAAGGATCCATCCTATCGTTTCTAGCTGCAAAACCTCAGTTTGCAGAAGGTTCAATAAATACATTCATGTGTTAAAATTGTTATCAGGGAGGGATCTCACAGAACTATGGATGACAAACACAACAAAGTGACAATAAATTTCACAGTTTGATCCTCTATCTATTATTAGTATGGTAACCTAAAACCCAAATGCTCTGATAATTGTCAGAAACACATGGTTCACAGCATCCCAAAATTCACTGGGTCATGTGCCTTGGTACTCCCCTCTCCCTGACAGCCAAGCTGAGCCAATTCAATTATTTTAAATGAACAAAGCAACAGGGACTCCACTACCTCCCAAGGAAAATTTTAAAACATTTCTCAGCCTAAGGAGGTTTGAACACTGTTCACAGAACAATTCTCAGGGAGCACTGTTCAAAAACAAATCTCACTTCAGAAGAACATAACCCATTTTTTTCCAGAAATGCAATTATTCTCTTTCAGCTTTTTACAAGAAGATATGATACCACTAATATTAACAGTTGCATCAACTTACAGTAAGGCTTAATTTGTTCAAGCATATTTTCCTTCTGAGTATATCTCTGTTTGACAAGGCTTTTATGCAGTACAACCTGGCAAATCATTAATTTGGTCTCAAACACTTCACTGCATTTCTCGTTACTTTCGTTTGAAGAGCTTTTCCATGCAATCCAGAAGTGGCAGTGAAACTGAATCACCCTCTCCTATGCACCCGATTTTCATTTTGTCCATTTTGCCAAGTAGCTTCTAAATATCTAATCAGGATCGGTTTCTGCTCTGCATACACTGCAGGTGCTCCTACTGTAGTCAAGAAATGCAGTTACTGGGCAAACTTGCATTTGAGACCTAAAATACCCTAGGCCCAAAAGCAAGCATAGATTGTGGCTGCTTAGACACAAACAATATAACTTTAACAAAAGGAATATGGCTTTGGTAATTCTGATCATCTCAAAACAAAAGCTTATGAAACAAGGGCATGCAGTTTAATTAATCCAAACAGATCTCTACCAACAGCAGCAGCAACAGATACATCCCTTGCACTTGCAATTTTATCACCTCTAAAATAAAGAATCCATGCCATCCAAACCTCTGCTTCCTTATGCCATCGTTTGGGATGAACTTTCACTGAAGCCTTTGCTGTCTCAAAATGTCCTTGTCACAACACACCAACTGCAGGATAATACTGGAGCTCCCCTGAACAACCCAAAAGTTTCTTCCTTTTGCTTTCATACCTGTGCTTCTAGATTCAGCAGCTCCTGTTGCAGGCAAAAGACACATCCAGAGAACTCGGCTTTATTACTGCTGTCCTACTAGGCATCTTGGTGCTCCCAGCAGCTCCCACTCTGCGCTTTAAACTTTTCACTGTGAATCACTTGATGAGCTGCTGCACTTATTTCCTGAGGAAAGCAGAAGTGGAGAACAGCAAATGAACCACACGTTCGGGAGCAGCCAAAACCCCGAAGCAACTCAGAGCAATTTCAGTGATGCATGAAGCTGGTGGGCAGGGCAGGCCTCTCCCTCCGTTAAGAGTAACTAAGTAGGCTTCTCCATATCATAGTCACAAATAAAAACTGCTTTTTTTTTTTTTTTTTTTTTTTAATCTGAAGTGTACCACACTAGCAGAGTGGTGAATGCACCACTGCAAAGCTTGTTCTCCTCGTGCAGCCTGTGCACACAGAACAAGCAACAGCTGAAGCACCCTCCCCAAATGCTGTGCCTTGAACTAGACACATGCAAACACTGAGGTGAAAGCCTTTCCCAGGCTCAACCCAGTTGAAACCACAGTGGTTGGAGGTATGAGAAGCACAAAGACACAGAAGAGCATACCAGCATTACTCAAGAGAGAATATCCCTGTTTTCCCTTTCTTAGCTCAGAAAAAAGGTCTGAATGTTACTACTGCTGCTGCTTCATTTCCCCTTTTAAGTGTCAGTTTAAAAAAAACACAAGACAGAAGGTCATTTGCAGGGGTCTCTCTATGCTGTCTGAACAGAGACGTTTTTCTCCCAGGAGCCATCTCCCATCCCAGTGGATCACCCCCACACTACCTGCTGTCAGGACTCAGTTACTAGCAGACTGAAATTCACACTGCAGAGTAAGCAAGACTTGCGTTTCATCCTGCACTAGCTTCTGTTGAGGCCCTAAGTCCAAAACTCCTACCCACCCTCCTACCTGATCTCTGCTCCACTGAAGCAGAACAGCTGTAATCAAATTATCTATAGTAAAAAAAACATATAGGGTAAAGACAAGCTAGTGCAGAGAGGCTGTGCTACAGTTTTTTCCCCTCAGTTTGCTCATGTTTGCACCAAATCACCTACAAAAATGGGAAGAACAAATCTGCTTTTTTTAGTCTCCTGCTCTCCCTCCAGTCTCATAGGTAAAAGTGCGTCTCCTACACCCTCACATGTCCACCTATGCACAATATAACTAGTTCAAGGGTACCCTCCTTCTAGGTGAGAACTATAGCTATTACGCTAGTGGGTGCAGGAGGCAGCTCTGCCAACACTGACCAGAAAGTGCATTCAAAGTAGAGCCCACATGGCCGAGCACGTACAAGACTTCCTGCTGAAGCTGCTGCGCCCAGAGGGGGTTTCCTTGAAGACATTTTGCACAACTCTCCCAGCACTGTGAAACAAGCTACCTAAGTAATCCCCACACATACAAGCACCAAAATGTGTATAATCCAGCAAGGCCACGCTTTGCCAAACTAGCTCTGAAGGTTTCCTCAGGCAGTTCACCACACCAGCAAGCAGGTCTCTCACAGTACTGAAAGAGCTGCAAACTCTAGTAACCAATATAGCTAGAGGAAAAAAAAATATCAATTTCTCCTTTACTCTCATCCTAGCAGAGCAAGTTCCTTCCTCCCAGGCTCAGGCATCTCAGCAACCATGCTAAGCAACACCAGGCTGCCTTAGGCTAGGCCGGAGATAACCATAAGGTCCATCTGTCTTGCAAGCTCAAATAATGTGCTTTATATCCACTTTAATCAAGTTTCTGTCTTTTTTTGTCATTTCAATTGCTACATACAAGTGAAAAAAAAAAATCTGTTTCATGCTTTCACAGTAACAGTATCACCCACACTATGGTATCTTAGTTCGCCTAGTCATCCAGGACAGGTATAAGCCATGGCCACAGTAAGAAGGCTCTCCCATCTTGAGGCTTTCAACCACTGGAGAGTTTTCCTGAAAGCCAACAACTTGCAGTAGATTCCAATCTCATTAGATTCATCAAGTGGAGTAGCTAAACGTGTAAATTTGTCCTCTGGCACTTGCTGCACAGCTGCTGTTGCTCAGGAGGCTAATAGTGCAGCTGAGCTGCAAACACAGATGGGATGGAAGTCCACCAAGAGGAGGCTGCGTTCACCCCTCCAGCAAGTCTCTCTGCAGGTATGGGAAAAAAAACAGTTATTGCTCAGACAATACATTTTGGAATGCACCTTCATAGTCTTTATCTGGGAGAAAAAAAATATATATATATAAAGCCAGGCAAATAAAATTCCCATTCAGCACTAAAAGGTGTCCAAAAGCTGAGACAGCTGCAGTTTTTCACTCCTGTTTTTTTCCTGTTCTAATACACCTTTTTTTTTAAACTCTAAAAAAGAAGAACTGAACACTGAATGACTTGTTATTTATTTAACAGAACAAAGGGAAGTTGCTATGTTTCCATCTCCCCCTCTCCCTTTAAATGGCAGAAGTGATAGTGAGACTGTAGATAGACAATGCAAAAATCTAAACCATCTGCTTTGCTATCATTTTCAGTCATCACCACTTTCTCAGCAAACTTGCTAACTCTGCATGGAAATAGAAGGGCCCAGCCTGCAGCAAACCTCCCCGAGGAAGTGATTCACCGAAGGAAACGGGCCACTGAGCTCAGGGCCACCGAGCCGCGGTCCGTGCAGGTGGCCCAGCTGCTCTCCCCTCACACAGAAGCCAGGGGCCTCTCAACATGGCCCCTTGTAGCCTGGCCAAGGCCTCCCCACCAGCAGCTACATTGCAAATTACTTCAAGGCCCAGCTCTCGGAATCAAGCAATTTATGTCTCTCTCCTGGGTGCACAGAAAAGCTTGTTAACCAAGAAAGGGTCAAAAGGGGAGCGAAGCAGCACGGCAGGGCCCTGTGCTCCCTGCACAACCTCAGGCCCACAAGCCACCACCCAGGCAGCACAGGAACTGCTGGAGGCACCAGCCACCATTTGGGCCAGGCCACACAGCCAGGGCAGGAGCTCAATAGTGGCTCCTTGTGCCTCCTAACATACACGGCCCCCAAGGGGGTCACCTAGCGTGGCAGCACCTCAGGCTGTGAAGCCATCGCGTTGGGGCTGACGGCAGCAGCAGCCCCCTGCACAGTCGCAGAGCGCCACGCTCCCCAGAGGCCAGTTCCCTACCCCGTAAGCCACAAGATGTCTTGTAAGAAGGGTAAGAGTAAATCCAACAGCCCGTGTCTCAAAGGTACCAGGCCAGGGAGCCAGCATCCAGACTCTCCAGGCTGCAGCCTACTTTTCATATGCCCTAACATGGCTCAAGTACAGCCACAGCTGCTAGACCCAGGCTTCTGCTGGCTTTGGGGCATCTTTTAGAGGCACTCAGCAGTAGGAAGGGAAAAATGGATATATCCCCCTGAAGATACCCTGAAGATTTTTAATCTACTTCAATTTCAATCTTGTATATAACTAAATACCAAAGCCCTAAGTTTTCCAAGGTAATCAAACAGTGCCAAACTTTTCATTGCAAATAACTCAAAGGCATGAAAACAATTTTTATTTAAGAGCTTATCCTTTCACATTCTCATTGATTTTGTTTCATTTTTTCTCTTATTTTTCCTCTAAACTGAAAAGCAATAATTAAGACAAACACAAATTTAAAAGTCGGCCTTTCCCTATACATTCTTGCAAGAAATATTTGGAGTTCTTCCTCTCTCATCTACCTGTTTAATATACAACATAAAGTCCAACTATTTTACACCCTGCCCAGCTAGACGTGACCTGCTTCGCAGTCTCAGAGGTAGCAGCAGGCAGGTTAATTCCGAGAAGCTCCGTGTTGACACTTTCCCTCCGGTGCCACCAGGTGGCAATGCGACAGAGCCACTTTCACAGTCTTTTATATGAAGCAGTAGAAATTGTGCAGAGCTTCAGGCAGCCCCTTCATTTTCGTATAAAAATTGCAGCTTCTGTGTCCTCAGTTTGTCTTAAACAGTATCTATCATCTCAGGAATTGGAATTCTGGTAAAGATGCTGGTTACCAGAATTTTAAGATTATTTGTCAGTTTTGTCTGCTCTAACAAAAGCTGATTTTAAAAGGCTATAAGTTGAAAAAATTTATGGAAATATTGTTAATATCAAAAATGCTCCCTCACTTTTCAATTATGTTTTGCTCTAAAAGCATTTTCAGGACACATTGTTGTTTAATAAGTAAAGCTACTTGTGCTGAACATTCATAGTATTTTTCCTCCCATCTTGAGAAGTTTCATCAGGGAGATCAGCATTACCATCTCAGTTTTGCAGGCTGTTCAACAGTGACATCACATTTTCAAATTACTTCCCCAAGGCTGCAGCACTAGGAAGCAAGTCAGGCACATTACCCAGGTCTCCAAGACCCAACTGCAGTGATTAAACAAAATTAAAAATTACAATAATTGTAATTTGAAAAAAATCACAATGTTGTTGAAATTTTTGACTCACTTCATTTTTCACCCAGCCTCCAGTTTTTCTCCTAGTTTCTTTTTGAGATAGATCTGCCAAAATGACTGTATTTTTCCCTGAGACAGCAGAAGTAGAACTGAGGATGCAATGCCTCAGTCCCTGGTGTCTAAAATATGCATGTGCTTCTCTTTGGCTCCTGCCATTAAAAGAAAAAGAAGATTATCCATTCTGCAGAGATTGCATTTAATTCTAAATAATGCATTTCTGTATCCTCTCTGACTCAAGTAACTCATTTCTTCTATACTCATGGATGACAAACAATAACTGACTGCTCAGGATATCACTTTTTAATGCAACTGATTCCTGAGGTGCTGTAGCTGTAGTGTACAGCTACAGTAGTGACTTTGCAGTCACCATTCTCAAAGGTACTAGGAATGTTTGGGAGAAGGGGAAAGGAATAGAAGAAAAGGGGAAAATAGGAATCTCTCCACCTTTCACCTATCCTAGGAATACCTGAGCACTTCACCAGACCAATCTGTTGTGAGATTTGACAGAGCAGACTGATGCAAGCAGCCTGCTCATATAACAGTGTGCAACACAACTGGAGGCAAAACCATGCAAACAGCACAACTAGAATCAAAGACCTGGGTTGGACAAGGAATCTGACTGGGATTTAGTCACATACCTTGCCTTGACTCAAGTTCATATTATGTAAGCAAAGCATGAAAGCTCAATCCAGTGTGAAGTACTCCAATGAGCATGTGTTTTGATGTTAGATACATGAGTCATCTCACTGATTTCAAAGACATTTTCCCATGATTTGTGGGAAGTGGTTGCTCAAGTGCTTTCCTATATTGAAATCAGAAGCTCAAAAAGGAATTCAGAATTCATGTCATATAGAGACAATTTTTAAGAGACATAGCATTCATTTGAAAGAGGCAATAGAGAAGGAAAGGACCTCAGCTCTTTTCTTTTAATAATTTAGACTACAGTAGCAGATTTGCTAGGCACACAATGGTCTGATGAAGTGAGGCACGCTGAAGGTAACATTTCACTAAGCAAGCAGGTATAGCTGCAGAAAATAGACAGGCTTGCAGGATCACCCAAGTGCTGGTGAAGTGGTACTGTAGAAGTTACTTAACCCAGTCTTCTGTTTGAAGCAGGGCTGTTGACAAAACAAGGTAGACTTTACCTAATCTTCAAAGTCCCTGAACACAGAGATCCCACCAGCTCTGCAGATGTTTGACCCAGTGCCCCACTGTCCTCCTGGTAAAAAAATTCCTCCTAATTTCTGATCTGAATTTAGAGGTCACAAGTTGTGGTCTTTGCCTTTTCTTTTACTGTTTGCCATTATCAAGTAGAGTTTGGCCGCATCATCTTGCGGTGTCTTTCAAGTTAGGACTTGTTTGCTATAGACTACTTTGTCAGTGTCTTCTTTCCTTGTTAAGCCCCAGGCTACCCTGTCTTCCTCCCACCAGTCTATGGCTGCTGTATTACCTTTTCTCAGGCTGTAGCTGCTCTTTTCCAGAGGTTCAGTCATATCCTGAAGTGAAGGTAGATGCTCCTGACCTACTTCTGAAGCCTGACTGCATGGGCAGGAACAGTGTCTGCAACAGATTGATAAACATTTTAAAATTCTTATTTTCTTACTGAAAAACATTCAAAATTGAGAGCCTCTGCTTTAAGCCTTTTCCTGAATGTACTCTCATGAGATCAGTCTGTCCTCTCTCAATAGTCTAGAAGTGTTTGGCATATTCACCATCTTCTTTGAGAAGCATTACTATTGCCCAAGACACCATTAAGCTTATGTGATTTCTTAATTTTCAGCCAAATCCAAATTGCTCTAATTCTTATCTCCTAGCCCAATATGATCCCTGGACTAGAATCTATTTCTGAAAAAACTTCTCCCAAAGGCCTTTGAGTTTCCAGTTATTTCTAGAACAAATCTGTGGCCTTCTCCATTGAGTATCAGTTTACCTGGTATTAGGCCATTTCTGAAGGATAACAAAGGAATTCTTTTTATAGTCCATGTATTTCTTGCACTGGCTAAAACTGCCACTAAAAGTACAGATTATTAATAACTGAAAGACAAGTATCTTTTCTCACCTGGAAGACAACAAATAGCAATATGATGAAGTTTTGAACTGGCAAGCACTTAATCTGAAGCAAAATTCATACTAGACTGAATTCCTTTGTGTCTTTATGTACTAAAAAACTGTCCACTGCTTTCTACCTGAGAAATAGTCTTCTTTCAAGAAAATCCCCACAGGTTCTACATAAAACATATATGCACATTCTCTAGCTTTTTTGTAAAAGATACCATTACCAATACTGATCTGAAAATTTCCACCATGACCCTTGCTCCATCTTTGGACTCTTCTCAATGAGCTCCATTTTATATAACAGAACAAATTCTAATCAAACAAAATATTGCAGTCTAAACAAACTGAATCTGGATTTCTGGTGCGTGCCAAAGTCCAGGGTGATCAGATCTTGGGCTCTGATCCAGACTCATCTTGCTGATGAGTAAAAATATATCAATCAGCTAGTTACAACAAGTCCTTGGCCTGCATAGGGAAGCAGAAGATGAGGAGGAGGAGAAAAGGATATGCTCTATAGTAATTGGTGGGTGACAGGATGCTGTGTGCAGCTCAAGGAAACAGAGGTTCATCTAGTTCCCCACCTCAGGCCAAGTCAGCAAGTTCACTGGCCCACACACTCTTCCATCTCAAGCACCCGACATGTTCCATAGCCTACAGCCATCAGCCTTGGCGCCAGCTGATGAATCATCTCTTCTCCAAGCATCCCTGCTGCAACAGCTTATTGCAGTTATCATCCCCTGCATTTAGATAGAGCTTGCCAATCTCAGCTCTCATAGTACTGCACACAGGTGGACAGGGCTGAATGTCTTGCTCTTGACTATGCCAAATCAGTTGGTATCAGCCCTAGAGGCCTTGTCTCCTCAAGTTTCTTCACACCTAGGTAGCATCATTTTCTTTTACTAGGGGTGTTTAACAACCACTAGTAAACACTTACTGGATAGTTTTCAACATTCAAAATAGGTAGCAAGTGACTGATAAGCACATCTATACTTACATTCAGATAAGAGGCAGAGAATAGCTCTTTTCTACCTATTGATTAATCAGCTGATCCCCATTTTCTAGGCCTGTGGAGGATTAAGGCTCTATAATCACCAGAGTGCTTTAAGTAGAGCAGCACTGAATGAAACCAATGAGAGCAGCGGCTCCCAACAAATGATACTCATCTTAGCATTAGCATGCTAGGCCCTCAAATAAGGCCCCTTTTACCTCAGGCCAATCGTTCATAGAAGTTTTATCACCTACAGTTAAATTCAGCAGTTTCCTGAAGCTCACCAAGGACATTTATCATGTTGAAGCAGGTCTGGTGATGGTAACCAGAAACAAACACAAACCACCATTGATGAGGCAGACCCATAATGGTGATGAAGGTGGGTAATCCACATCCAGGCACAAGCAAAGCTGTAGCTAAACTAAAAACACATCTGCCTGCAGCTTGAGCTTATATAAAGCTTCTGGGCCAATAAGCAGAGGCTGTGGACAAACATGCCAGGTGAGGCTCATTGAGGCTATTAAGACAGACTATTAGTACTCTTAAAGGGCATAACACAGACTTTTTTGGTCTTTTAGGAGTGAGGCTGCAAGTTAGAGTAAGTGTACTGTTTTCTATAACCTTTGTGTTACTTTATTTATTTATTTTTTTAAGTACCTATGTAGTTGTGCTAATGCTATAGGCCTGCTATGTTTTGTTGCAGTAGGAGGGTTTTCTTGAGAGCTTCTGGTACAGGGACTCATGCTTGGATTATGTAAGCAGAGGCTCAACATATTACTTGGTTTGTTGTCAAGGTAGGGAGCTCACCTTAGGTGCTTCTGATATCTCCATCTCAAACTTCTAATTAAAATGTTCTCAAACGCCCTTCACAGCTGCCTTCACCACATAAGATGTAAGAATTAGAGTCATAGTTGTCTCCATTTTCCTCAATTTTTATCACTTTTGTGCTTACTGGTCTCTACTTAGTAATGAAATGTTGGGCTAAATCAGCTAGGATGTAGTCAACTGCCCACTGGGTGGTTGCATCCTTTAAGGGTAAAGCTAAAAGCAACTGCAGTGACATAAAGCTTTCACAGAATATTTATCCATTCTTCACATCTTTATACTTTAAGTAAAATTACTGCACTAGAAAATTGTCTTCTATAGCTGCCAATTTAACTTCAATCCCTGTTGCTTAAATTGTGTGTGCTTCAGTTTACTGTTCTTTGCTGTTGAAGCTCTCAATGTCATTGTAATTTGGAAGCAGCATCTGAGTCAGATAGAATTTGATACAGGGAGAATAAGCTAAATCAGTCATTATTCAACTTACTTTCCTGCTGTGTAATCATAGTTTGCCCTGAGCCTTTTAAATAATGCCTTTTGCTATGAAAGGATATATACATATATACACACCCATCCTGAAAACAAATAGGATTTATTGAGATAAATAGATTTTTTTGAGATCTATTGCCCTGTATATCCTGATAAATATATGTAGCTCAATACACCAACTTCAGTGACAAGACATCCTTTAGGGTCTTATATCTCTAAACATCTGTTAGATGACCTTTTTATAGGACATATCTTCAATACTTCCTTAAGGAAGTAATTATTTAAATTGTCAGAGCAAAGCACTGCTTTCTTAAATGTAACTATTTGCTGTAGGTGATTGGTCTTCTCTCTCCTCGCTAGTTATTTTTTTTTCTTTAGACAAATAGTTTCTTTACCTAAAAGACTATATTTAGGAGACTCACATCTGAATTTCTTATGTTTAACCTAATAAAGAAATGGGTAATTTTTTTTCCCTTTTGAAGATTAAGATGATTTATAAAGTAGAACATCTCTCTTAAGAAGTTCTGAAAAAGTATAATTCAAAAGAAAACATTTCACGCGGGGTCAAATGGAATGCTGTTGACACAGAATACTTTCTTTGAACCAAGAAACACTTCAAAATTGGAGTTGTGTTTAGGGTTGAAGTTGGTTGTTTGAATGTTTTGATCTCAGCCATGAACAAGATAATCAATTATTGATATAAGTCTATATGTCGTGCCCTTTCCCAGAGGAGAAAATCAAGCTCTCATGCTAAGTGACTTAGCAGGATAAAGTGTCTCAAGTTTCCCATGAGACTGGAAGTTCAGTTAGCTTTATTCCTGTCATGGTTTATTGTACATGCATTTTGGCTTCCCGCTCAAACTGTAAAATTATGCTTCTAAACAGCATCAAAGCAGTGTTTCTCCACATAAATTGAAGCCTGACAAGAAAAGCCAAAAATGTAGAGAAAGAAGTCTGGTGATTGATGCGAAAGAGTGATTTTTAGACCCAAGGACTGAGGTTAGGCAGGAAGTCAGAAGCGTAATTCCCCTCAACCCTTGATCTTGCTGGTTGTCCACACGGAGTCAGGACGCTTGCTAATCTTGGTCAAGGGATCACCAATGAGCTACTCTTTACCTTGTCAAAATTTAGCAAGTACAGGTTGTTGAAGAGGAAAAGTAACTACAGAGTCTGCATGCTCAGAGCAAAGATAGCAGTTCAGTCCTGTGCTAGACCCCTAGCCTTGTTGCCATGTTTGCAAATCTGAGATAGCTACCACGAACTCAGCAGATTTACAACTGTTTCTGCACAGCTGGTTCCATCAAGACCTCTAAAGGTCCCAGTAGCTCAGCCTTTGCTCCAGCTCACATGCTGAGAGTAGAGTCTCTCTAAAGGGCCAGGATCCTCCTGTGCTGCTGGAGATAGGAATTCATGGCCAGTATTCAGAACCCAAGCTATGATAGATCTTCTTGAGAAGGAAGGAAGCTGCCAGACTTGGATACTATTTTATCAGTGCAATTCAACAATACGCAGCGGAAGGGTGATACTGCAGGGCGTGCACTTTGCCAAGAAGTATTTGCCACCTCTTCTACCCTGTGGAAGGACCTGAAAAGCAAGAGATGGGGACAGCAAGGAAGAGGGACATGCCAACTGCAGCTGGGGCAGGATGGGTCTCTGCTACTCAGTCCGATTCAATGTTCATCCAAGTAACTGTTTAACTACTTCATCAAGTGCTTCTCCTTCCCGCAACCCCTTGCTGCATCCTGGAGCGGACCCCTTCCCAGGGAAAGGTGAGGGAGAGCTTTACAAGCAGCGGGAGGTGTCAGTGGGGGTGATGGCACCACTGGCCTCCCTTCGGCCAACGCTGGGCAGAGGTTTTTCCCCCCGCACCGTGGCCGGGAGCAGAGGGTCGCTGCGGCCGCGGGAGCTGGTGGCTCCTCGGTGCCTGCTCGGGCCTTTGTCCCGGCCCGGCCCGGGGGGAGCCGC